TACTTACAACAGCGAGTCCCTGGGTGGCCATGTTGCCGGAGGGAGCGATAAGCTGGTTGGCCTGTCTGACCTGGATGCCGTCGCTGACGAAGGAGAGAAGGTTGGACTTGGCGGTCTGGAACTGCTGGGGATTGGGAGGGTTGGCCTGAAGAGCCTGCATGACGGCGTTGACACCGTTGACCTCCTGTTGCTGGACCTCGATGTTCAAGGCGATGCCACCGGCCAGAATCTTCGCCTCGGCGCAAGCGGGGGTGTCTCCGGCCGCCGGGGCGGGAGGGGGAACGGGGGCGGCACCTCCGTTCATCTGGGCAACGGCCAGGGTGGCGAGGGACAGGACAACAGCGTAGGCCTTCATTTTGACGGTTGGTGATTTACGATTAGTCGAGAAAGATTGTATACGGTTAAATTAAAGTTGGTGGAGCCTGTCCGAGGGCGAGTAATGACCGTTTAGTGCTATTGACGATGTTGTCCTATTGTCCGAATCCAGATCCAGTGCAGAGGCAATAGGTAACTGGAGAAAAGGCCGGGCGGGCATCTGGTCTTATAAGTCCGAACGGCGAGACGCACACTATCTAGGCCGGCCCCAACTTCACGAAGCAAAATCATGAGATGAGGCCCCGGCGGAGGGGGCTATCCAACAGGAAGCACGAAGGCGGGCCAGCAATGGAGGTTGAAACTTCCGGATGATAGACTTTCTAGAGTGTTTTGGGGCGGTCGCCGAGTCGCTGTGCTGCTTGTTTCGAACCTTGATAACGTTGGGACGAAGGAAGGATTTCCCTGATTGTCCATCTGCACAGACGATGCATTGAGGTGCAGGGTATCAGAGTAGCCACACAGCCCACGAATCACATCCTCGTCTCCCTGTCGGCAGCTCATCTTTTCCCCCTTCCCCTGGCCGCGATTCAGTAGGGCAGAGAAGGGAGTCCGAACATGTTGAGGGGCCATGGTTTGCTTGAAAAGAGCCGCCGACGGCACCCTACCAGACGTCACAACTTCACGTCTCGGACTTCGAACTCTCTTTGGAAATGGTGCCCATCCCTTCCCGCCTCGCCTGGTCTTTTGATCCCTTTCTCGACCGTTTTCTTGGGGCATCTTTGGCCACATGGTTACTCGTGCCGGCTTGCAACATGGCTACATCCATGACTCGTCTGATGGACGTTTCTTCTGCCCAAAAATCTCCTTACTCAAAACAGCCATGCTCCCGAAAAGCTTAAAGGACTTGTCCGCAGCTACAATAGGCTAAGCTTTGGGTTAGTCATCTCCCGTCGTTAAGAAATGCTACACACAAATGGAAATCCAAATAGTGGCACCATCCTGTCCAAAAAGGAACGGATGGCAGTTCAGACACCCGTCCTCAAGAACTGCAGGTCGGCGGTCTAATTCGTTTCGTGCAGCGCTCCTTGTCTCTTTCGCACTCGAAAAGACAAGACAATGGGGTTCGCATCCTGGTTTACTTGGTCCAGCTCCTACAGCACACGGACAACTGAAAAAGGCCAGCCATTGCCGCAGGCCTTGTTAGCGCCAAGTATGAATGGATCGGTCAGTTGCCTAACATGTGTGCTCAGAGCGACTTGTGAAGCACTCTAGCGGGCCTTGGGATTCGGCTGTTGCCCCCTCCGATTCGCGCCCACCTCGCAACCTCTCCTCGGCCTCCCACATGGGACACATGGGAAAACGTTTCCTCGGATTTCAGCAGACCTTCGCGTGGCTTATCCCATTTATTTTGGCTCCCGTTGAGATGCCCCTACGCCGTCGGGTTTGCGGGATGAAGCCCGTTTCCTGGATCTTCTGCGCGCCATCGTGGGCTCCTGTGAGGTTCGCTCCTGTTTCCAGGGTCGATAAATCACACGTTCCGCGCTATGATTGAGCAGAATATCTTCAATTCGGGGGTTGTCCGATCAGGATATACAGTCTGTTCGGTGCATCATGTTCCATCACGCCATCTTGACACGGGCACTGCTTAGATATGCCAAGTATTCATTAAAAGAGTGAATATTATGTTCCTTCGCACGCCAATGAAACCATGATGTCTTCAAGTGCCCAGGATTTGCGTGCCCAGCATGATGCGCGAACAGTTTTCTCGGCGCATCTTGGCAAAAGGCCGATCCCGATTGCCAAGTTGGTTGCAAGCGATTGAACCAGAGACACGGGTACGAAACAGCATGACTGGCAGACGCGACAAGTGTAAGCGCGCGTGATACTAGAGGTGGCATTCACGCTATGTTATAGCCCATCATAAGTGATGCCTGACTCGGCCGGGCTGTGCTGACGTGAAAGCGCCGGCGGAACCATTGTTACCGATCACCCAGCAAAATAAGTGAGCACACCACGGTCGAAATGAGGCCTGTGAGACGAAAGCACTGTTCCCAGCCAGGGCGGGTAAACAATGCTAAGACGGAAGTTCAAAACAAATTGTGAGTGATATCCAGGTCTGCCAAACTCTACGAGACTGGCCACTCGCTGGATGAATGAAAGTGACAAGCGAGGAAAACGAGGCGACGGGCTTCGACAATAAGCTCAAGCTTGTGGGGATTCCGCACCCTATGACGGCTAAGCGGAGGAATCAGAAGGGAGGGTAGCAGCAGGCCACTTTCCCAGCCTTTTCGTCTGAAGATTGCATAACGGGAAAGGTTGTCTTCAAGAGTGATGTCTCGAGTGTGAAGTATCCAGTTGCCTGAGGTCTCGCCAGTCAGCGGGGGCGTTGTCAAATGCGACTCGACAGGGCAGCCTGAACGAGATGTCCTAAACGTTGCAGCCAGGGGCAAACCTAAAGACCCCGTTGTAGGGCATTTCCCCTGCGTTAGCGTAGGGGATCTGGGAGATTGACCTCTTGATGCTAGGATTCCTCAGCATCGCGAAGTAAAGAGTTCAATCTGCCAGAAGTTGACTCAATCAGGCGTATCTTATATCCATCTTCACCTCTCTCTGCATGTTTGACAGCAACGGTGCAACCGCAGGACTGGGATTCCTCCAACTAATGAGAACAGCCCACATTCCGAACTAGTGAGTTGACAGACTTTCCGATTTTTGGGATGGACAATGCGGTCAAATCAGCCGCAAGATAAGATCAACGACGGCTAAAAGGTTGTTAAAAAGTCCGCCAACAACAAAGCGAAGAGAAAAGATGTTCCGGATGTGAGCCAATCGCTACCAGTCTCAGATCCCTTTCGGATCCGCGACTTGCATCTGCGGTGCGGGGAACGGGGAGCTCGGAGTTCGGGTATCTCAGGCACAAATCCCCGCGGGACAGGGATCTCATCGTTTGATTGGAGCCAGTTGGTCTGCGTTGGTGCGTGCTATGGACGTGTGCCTGGCGAAGGTCCGGCCTGTCCCGCGAGCCGCCCATTCGATTCAAAGTAAAAGTAGACGGGCATGTCCTGATTTCAATGCCGGTAGGAGTAGAGGTTTCTGTCAAAGTCAATTTCAAATGCGAGATGTATTGTCCGCAGTGTGGCAAGTCAAGCGACCCCTGAGAGTCCCGAGCCTGTGGTTGGAAAGCTCCTGATTGATGAGTTGACGAGGACCGGACATCTTGGCATTCCATGATTGCGATCAATCGTCGAATCGCTGTGTGACTCAGTTGAGTGTGGAATAGCCAGATTCGTTTTTCACATGACTGCCTAGTCTCGATGTTTACCATACGCTTCCTCGTGACGGCAGTGATGGCGGGGCTAGCCGTCGAGCGTAGCAGCTTGATGAGATGAGAATTAAAGCGACATGTGGGAATTGCATTTGATCGAGGGACGTCTTTCTCTGAAGCATGCGACAGATAGAAGGCCTTAACAGCGTGTTTACAAGCAGTGAAGACTTTCGGCTTAGGCAGAGAATTGCGCTTGGCTTGTTGAGTGCCCGCTTTACTCTCCAAATATGCGCCGAATGCTTGCAATGAGTAGATGTGAGTAATCAGCTTGGGTGAAAGCAAACTACGCGTTGATCAGCCTCTTTAACTTATTTTCTACAATTGCAATGAAGTCGAGAGCAAGTTGCAAGACAGTACTGAGGGCTGAAGTAAGTGGAAGACAAAAAATGACTTGGTTGATCTAAGTCAGAGACCCTCAAAGAGTCATATGTATCTGTAGTACCTACTTTTGTACTTGTACAAGACCAGACGTTGTCTCGTGGCAAGTTGAACAGTGCGGCGGCAATGGGCAGATTCAAATATGACGCCGCGAAAGAGAGCCCTGGGGACGTATGTATCTTCAGCACCCGATGGGATGCTTCGAGCCATTACCTATGACTACAAGTTCGTTCGGAAAATGCTTAATCTGGCATATCAAACCTTAGTTGACAACCTCGCGTTGCACTACGGCAAGCATGGGATTAGGCGACTGCTCTACTACTGCAAGATGATGCGATCCATCCTACCCATGTGTTCCACGTAGCCAATTCCCCCTAACGTGGTTTTCGTTCCGATCAACTCGCTATCGAGGTGCTACTCATTACCTATACTATACCGCTTCAATCTGCTTGCACCTTGAGCTACTTGCGGTGCCATTGTGTGGCGTGGCACTTCAAATACTCGCTCGGGCATTAGGTCCCTGGCGACCGCCTGCGAGGTTCCATAGCCGATGAATCATCACCAGATCGTAATAACAAGTACCTAGGCCGTATGGCCGAGGGGTTGATTGGGCTATAGAGGCCCCGACCAGACAGTGAAATCTCCTGTCTATTTCGGGATCCAAGCTCGATTTCTCGATCGGTCGCCTCATTGTTGTTTCTCTGTATTTGTCGTTTCCTCTCACCCGATCACCTACAGTCGTCCTTGTTTGTAAAGGAATACCAAGTACAGACAGCCTCAACGCCGAACCATTTCGAATCTATTTCGTTGGTAGACACGTCGGTAGGAAAGCAGTTCGGTAAGAGGGCAAAGCAAATCTTCTCGATGATCAGGATAGGGGCTAGGAAGTCAAGAACTCAAGGACAAGAGCCGAACAAGAACAGAATCCATCGGCCAATCATCTTGCTGTATTATACCCTAAGCTACCTCTCAGGACAATGATTCTAGGCTCGGAAGTCAAGACAACAAGCTGAAGGAGGGCCAGAAGCTAACGCTACGTGGTCATATCGCGATAAAGAAGCAAAGTATCCTTTCATAATCATAATTCATATGGCATTTCGAAAGCTGACTTCCCTCTACGGACACATATCGAGCCGCGAGCAAGCCATCTTACAATCATTCCGAACTCAGGGCCTCCGAAATGATGGAAATCTACGTCCTCCACCGGAAAGCAGGGTGCTTCCAATCCAAATCCCGAACCTCCTGCTCCGTGTAGCCCGCAAGCTCCTCCTCAATGCTTCGATCGTCGCGGCGCTTGTTATCCCACTTCATCCAGAACCACGCCGAGGTCGCCACGATCAAAATCATGCTCGCCGCGCCGAGGTTGAGACCGTTGCCGATATGGAAATCGGGCGCGTCCCAGGAGAGGTAGGACCATGTTGATACGAGACCGCCCACGTTGCCAAACATGACCTGTATATTCAAGTGTTAGCCTCCGGCTTCCTCACAATGACTCGATGTACTAAAGAGAGACGAAGAGGGAGAGGTTTTTAACTTACGTTGAGACCGATGGCACTGCTTCGCGCCGTATCACTAACGACATTGGCGCTGATGTGAGCGTTGGACATGGGGCCCATCACCATAGCCGAACTGGCAATGAGGAACGTCGCTCCGTAGCGTACGCGAGCGACTTTGGACGCGAGGAACATGATGTATCCCGCCATGACCATCGGCGCGCTCATGGCAATGAGAACTTGCCTTCTGTCAAGGTACCAACTCAACCCCGGGAACGCCACCGTGAAGAAGGCACCAACGACGTAGGGCGGCACGCTGTACAGCTGCTTCTGGACGGTCGAAAAGGTCGGGTAAATGTTGCTGACGATAGTGGGGAGGAAGAAGGCCAGGCCTTGGACGGTGATGTTGTTGAAGAAGAAGATGATGGCGATCTCGAGGGTGACGGGGTTGAGCATGCCGCGCTTAAGCTTCGTCTTGTCGATCTTGTCAATCACCTCCGTCGCGCCGACGCGCTCTGACTTGACGCGGGCGACGCAGAGGTCCTTCTCCTCTTGCGTCAACCACTTTGCCGTCTCGGGTCTGTCGGTGAGGGTCCAGAAAGAGATGATGGCCAGGACAACGGTGACGATGCCCTCGATGGCAAAGATCATGCGCCAGCGGTGCAGACTGCCAAAGGAGTCGAGGGTGAGGATTGCGGAGGCGAGGAGGCCGCCGAAGGCTCCCGCGAGGGGTGCCATAACCATGTAGAGCGACAGGCGGAAGGTCAGCTCGGCGCGCTGGTACCATCTGGAGAGGTAGTATGCGATGCCGGGGAGCATGCCGGCCTCGAAGATGCCGAGGAGGAAGCGGACGCCGCAGATGGCGGCGCGGTCCTGGACGAAGGCTGTGCAGATGGAGACGATGCCGAAGAGGAGGGTGGTGATGGGGAGGAACCAGCCGGGGCCCATTGCTTTGCAGGCGATTGTGGCGGGGATCTCAAAGAGGATGTAGGAGATGTAGAAGACGGAGAGTATCATGTTGTAGTCGTAGCCTTTGAGTTCGAGGTCCTTGTCGAGGCCGGCGATTCTTGCGTTACCTGTGGATGAGGTGTCAGTAAATGTAGAGGTTTTATGAAGCTGTAAGATGGGGTTTGATGATTTGACTGACCAATGTTGGCACGGTCGATGAAGCAGAAGAGATACAACAATGCAACGGTGGGAATGGTGTGCAAGTCGAGCTTCCATCTCAACTTTCGTACCGCTACGGGGTCGAACTCGACAAGGGAGTGGCCATATCTGTTGAGTCGTGATCAGTCCCGTGGACGGCGGATACTAGGAGTGAATGTGACACTACTCACTTGTCGGTGGCAAGCTGGCCCCTTCCAGCAGCGTTATGGATACTATCATGGACAGGAGCAGCACTGATGGTATGGTCCTCGGTGCCCTCGACGTGGGTTCCCTTGGGAACCTCCTTCTCCGTGGAAGACATGGCGAAGGTTGGGATGTAAGATAGTTCGGACAATGACTTCTCGAACTCGAGAGCAGACGAAGTAACGAAATCTCAAAGCAGTACTCCTTCGAGCTTTCTGTTTGAATCTCTGAGATACTGGCTTACAGTCGTCAAAGTCAAACTGGATACTCAAGGAATGAGTTGCCAATACACACTGAGAAGAGGATCGTGGTCGTCTATTTAAATCCAGCGGTACCGCATACATCGTTGGCAACAAATACACCCTGGTAGAAAATGCCGTACCCATGTCCCTAGCTCAACCCCCAAGCATCCCAAGCATTTACCGGGCACCACTCTATTGGGGACCAGAGCTGCATCTTTGGCGTTGCCGCACCCTCCATGTTTAGGGCTCCATCGAAGTGGGAATGCCTGCGGGGTAGGGATACGCCATCATCGAGGTTGTATCGGCCGCATCTTTTCCTGAGAAGATTGTCACTTTCTCCTCCAATTGTGGACTGGGTTGTATCAAAGATGCCGGGACACGACCATTGCAGCGTCGACGCGGGAGATCAGCGCTGCTATGATGGCATCAACGTGATGGTCTTTGAAGCTCAACGAGAACACCACCAACAAGAAATACCCAAACATTCTGAAAACTCATCCGTTCTCAAATAATGTTTGCCTGCTGAGTCTCAATCTCCAAATGACTCCGCCTGGAGACGATTCCCCCAGGTTCTCCGCCCTGCCCGCCCCCGCAATCCTGGGGAAAACATCCACTTTGGCTTGTCGGAGGCTCCACGTGCCCAGGTTAAGATCCCAGCGTGAGTGGTTCAGGAGAGCCAATGAGGCCCGTCGAGTTGCAATCTCGAGGGGTGTCAACAGTGCCAAGAAAGCTAGAGCAATTTGTCTTCGGCAACTGGGATCGGCAAGTGAGGTTGAAATGCTAGCGGGAACTGCCAGCGGACGCGTATGTAGAGTTGTAGATTCAACACATTGCTGCAACGTATGCGGAGCTTCTAGCACACCTCAAGAAGGACCTTGCTCTCCGAGAAGCCGAGCCTTCCGCAATAGAGTCGCTCTATGGAAAGAGGCTCGGAACGGGAGCCGTTTGCTCACTCGAGCGAGTCAAGGATTGGAGTTTAGTGTTATGCCAACCGCCCTTAATGGTGTTGGTTACGCGGAAACTTCGAAGCGAAAGGGCTGGCAATCCGCCAGGTCGGGATATGCTACTATCCCACCGGTCAAACTTAGTTTTGGATATATACGTCTAAGACTCAAAGAGGCTCCTTTTCAGCCCTTCGATGATCACTAGGTGTGGTCTCAACGTTCGGCAGATCAAATGTTCGAATTTGGAGAGGCCACCTCGAGAAACAACATCTGGACGGAGATGGTGCTCCTAGGCTGAACGTTCGTCCAGTGTTGATGATCATCGAAAGTCAATGTGACACTGTCCTTCCAATTCTGTTCATCCCATGTTCGGCTGTATGGCAAAGGCGCAGGCCGGGAAACCATTTTACCGGCACAGCTATGGAAACTCTGACGTTCCTTTGGCTCAGCTTGACAGGAATTTGCAGTGAATGCATGAGTATCTGTAAGGGCGACGCCGTGTGATTGATGTATTGGGTGCCTGCAACGCAATCAAGAGGCGCTAGAGCAGTAGATGATAACCGCGGGTCCTGAAGTTGCCGTCGGTTGAATCGTGCTGGCAGATCGTCTCTGCAATCCACCCGCGGTAAAACATGTCGATATCCCGAGGTTACTTTGCAGTCGGACACTGCAGACACTGCAGATTGGTGGACGAGGCGTGAAACAATAACCTCGGTGGAACCTGCAGGTCAGCCACCCACACTGTACGGATAACCAAAAGCCCTCTGAGACATGACACTGGCCATGTGGCATTGAGGGGACCTGATCGAGCATGGCGCGGTGGGCGGCTTCTGCGGCTTTGGTGGTGAAGGACTGCATCTTCGGCCGAGAGAGGGAGGTCGTACTACTGAGTACTGCCGTGCTCCGTGATGATGCTCCGTACGTGCAGACGTGGTGCGTTGCATTGAGACTCCAGAGATATCGAATCTCAACTGCAGCACCTGTACGGATACTTCGTGCGGCAGAACAAGGTGTCGCATGCAGCTGCCCGAAAGGGGCTGGCTCGGTGACAAATGCTGCTCCGCTGTGATGCGACCCTCAATAACAGCGCCGCTTGGCGATGACCAAGGTCACTTCGATCCTTTGCTGCTTCTTCGTAAGCATAAATACCACCGAGGAGACGACGCGGAACTTTATTGTCCCTTCGCAATGTGTTTTTTGGGAGAAATGAGGTGACCACATATGGTTATATGTGACCGTGTGTGCCTTGAATATGGTCGATGTTTCGTTCCTAGCGCGAACGGGGATCATCTATGATGGGCGACCGCAGAATCGTTGTTCATCCTCCGTAGTATGGCGCAAGTCATTCCAGCACGGTCATTTGGATGGTGTTCCGGCGGTATTGTTGCAATTCCCAATCCACTTCGGCGGGTGTCGTTGTAAGATGCAGGAGTCAGCGGCGTTCAAAACGTAAGACATTCATTGAAGATGCACTGGCGGACGACGCGTCAAGAAAGCCAAGCTCCTGAAGAAGTCGACAAGTTTGTTGTCGATCGGAGAGGGCACAAAGAAAGAATCGCCAGCCGTTCGCGGCGACAACGCCCGCTGCCTCACCCGGCGCCCTTCCCAGAGTTCAACGGCCCAAACTCAAGATGGCGGTCAGTGGTGCCGTGATGGCGGGACCCGGCGTTGTTAGGAGGCTTAGCCGGTGCCGAAGGAAGACGATCCGATTATTTTAGGTCGTCACCGTCGTGTCCGGACATGGCCGTCGTCTCAGACCCTGAGCTGGGACGCCCCAAGACTTGAAAGACTCTTGATAAACGCGAAGATCGTGGAAGATCAGGGGGTGAATTCTTGTCGCAGCCAGCTTGGTGGGAATGGCTTCAAGGGGACGACGTTGTGGTATTCAGCTGCGAAACGGGGAAAGAGCTGAAAGACTGTGGATAGCTAGGGGAAGCTTGGGTGCCATTGTGCTACTACCAGCTCTTGGGAATGTCTCGGAAGACCCTGTCGTTCTTGTTTGACGGTGTTTGCTGACAGCCAGAAACCAGGGGTGGGAGGACGGATGAACGGCGACAGCGGAGGGCGGGGGGGAGCTGGTGGGGAGGTTCCGTCCGCCAAAACATGAGAGAGAGATACGCAGGAGGTACAGTAGCGAATCAGGGATGAGTAATCGTACAAAAATGCTTACCTAAGTCGGCGGCGGAAGCGATCTGCTCCGGACCACAATTCACGCCTCTCATTGGCCAGCACGCATGGATGGGGCAGCTCTAGTGATCCTTCGCCTCGCTTAGCTCGAGTTTAGCGGGCTTCTCCCTCTACGAGATTCCCTGGGAACGCTGGCTGTGCCAACTTTAGGCTTCCAAAGTTCACTGAGCCCGCCTGCACTCCCTGTCTCAGCAATGGGACGGCGTGGACGGCACCTAAAATGCCCCCAAGGACAAGATAATCGGAGACGGATCATCAGCACCCGTGGATCCCATCTCCCTAGGCCCTTGGAGGACTCCCATCTGCCCCTCTCCAGCTCTCCCCCCCAACGCCCAGATGACGTGAGACGCCCACCAGACCATCCCACGCATCCAAGCACATCCCAGCGAACATGCATGTGGTTTTGCGTTTCCCACCAAGCACCGCGCACCAAGCACACCCAAGCCAAGCTTTTTGCGAATATCCATTCTCGACTCGGAGCTAGCGAGTGGAAGGGTCCCGGCCCGGGGGGCTGAGGTCTTGCGCTGCCATGGCTTGGCTTTACCTTAACCAGGTTGGCTGTCTTCTTGACCACCGTCCTTCGCGCGGCGCACCTCCGTCAGCACCAAGAAGCTTTTTGTTGCTTGGGTCGTCAGCTTTTACGTCTGCTTTCTTTTTGCACATGTTCTCCACGGCCGTCTGACAGGAACAAGCCAGCTTTTTGACCAGACATCTACCATTGATCCTCACGATCCACAGTATTACCATCGCATCGCGCCTCCGAACCGACGACAACTTCGAGATACCCCAAAGATACCCCTTAAAAGAGCGACGACACAAACCGCACAGATGCTTCGCAAGAAAGAGGTCTACACGACCGTCACTCCCATCCCGGGCTTCATCCCCCGCCAGCTCGCCATCGACATCCTCCACTCCCACTCCGAGGTCATCACCCTCAACCCCCTCGTCCTCGATCACAAGCCCATCAAGGCGCCCCGCGATGCCGCCTCTGACGAGTACTACTCGACATGGTACGAAATCACCGAGCGCATCCAGTACATCCCCGGCATCGGCAAGATGGGTTCCGGCAAGATCAGCTTCAACGGCTGCTTCCACGATATGCCCTGGGGCCTGCAGACGCACACATACGCGCCCATGAACATCGACATCCGGATAAAGTACAAAATCGACGGCAACCAGCCCGGCGTCGAACCGCCCCAGCCGCCCGAAATTGGCATGTCCGGGCTCGGTGTACCCGCAGACGGGCTGTATTTGCGCGAGGATATCGAGATCCGCTGCAACATCACCATGGTCAATTTTGTCAAGGCGCAACTCAAGGCCGCGAGCAAGGAAATGGTCTCAAGGATTATCAAAAAGGCAGAGCTGCTCGACGCGGGCGTGTTGCAGGCCATGATCACGGACGGGAAGCTGAAGACCATCAACCCGGCCGACCGCACCAGCACGGGCATGTCCGGCGCGCACTCGCCGTTATTCAACCAGCGCCCCGAAGGTAGCCCAAGACCAGAATCCTATTCGCCCACAACACCATACCAAGTCCCAAGACCAGTCTCGATGCAACAGTTCCGCCCCGGCTCGCAGGGCAGCTACGGCGCACACCAGAACCAGCCATCGGAGCTCTACTCCCAGCACAGCGCACCTCAAACATCCTTCATCGCCGAACTCCCGGGAAACTTCTACCACCCGCAACAATCATCCAACAACCTGCAACCCCCGCAGCCGTCCCCGGGCCTACAGGGCGGTGACCGTGACTCCATGTCGCAACAATCACAACTCTCCCCGGACCCAAACTCATGGCGCTGGTCCCAGGGCCAACCGAGCCCGTCGCAACAGAGCTCGCGGCCGACGAGCATGGCTTCGTCCGAGGCGAGTAGCGGATACGCCAGCCCCGCGCTCGATCACAAGGGCTTCTCGTCCGAATTGCCCACGCACCCCGAGACACAGGAAGAGCACCGCGGGGATGCCCATGCCAAGGCGGCGGAGGCGGCGCAGCAGCAGCAGCAGCAGCATAGGGTCAAGGGCCCGCAGGCGTATCCGACGTACGGGCAGGCTTATACCTATAATCCTGCAGATTATGCGCCGATGAGTAGATGATGGAGGACCGCTTTCGCTGAAGGAGAGATACCGGTAGGTGTGTATTGATGCCAGGAGTTTATGGGACTGCAATGAGCGCGGATTTGGGCTTGGTTTGGCAAACACTTTCTTTCAATGATACCGCTTTGTTTGGGAAATGAGATGTTATGTTGTTGTACCCATGGGACATACCAACTGGTCAACGTCGGCCAACCAGGAAAAAGGAGTTTATCTATTTCGATTTATTTCATAATGCTATCTTGTAATTCACAATATCACCCAATCTGGGCAAACAATAGTGTCAAGATTGCATTTGCCTCGTATTACAGCTGGATGAGTTGTATGGTAGTAAGCTTACTTCTGCTGATGGCTTACAATGTGAAAGTGATGTCACGATGAGCATTTCTCACCAAGTGCCTAGGTAAGGTTGGTATTAATCATCTTCTTGATGGCAATCGAGATACACGCCATCATTTTCCCGAGCAGAGAACTCCTCGCCGCGTTTGACGGATGGCCAAACGAGTTGTGATAGCCTATTTCACTCCCTCCCTCGACGCTTCTTAGAATTGGAATGGTGGAATTAAATCTATTGAGAATTCGTCTTGAAAGTACGCATATAATAGACTACCTTCGTCCCAAGTGTGTTGAACTCGGGGTAGGTAGAAGAGTTGGGAGACTAGATTTAAGAAGAACCGATGAATGATCTAGAAACCGATTTTCTCATCGAAAACATTGATAACAAGAATACACCCCTATCCACACCACTACTGACCAAATAAGGCTCCCTTACTTCTTCGAGTCGCAGTCAAGTCAAGAATTGTTGCTGCGTGGGTAGGAGTGCTTTGGTAGTGGTTCATCTCAGACAAAGCTATGTCGTTAACTCGCGTCGAAGCAGCTTGAGCAAAAAAGCTAACAAGGCCCCTTTACTATTATCAACGCATACCAGAAAGGACTACACGGGAAGGTTTCTGGCAAGGGCTGTGACGACTGCACTTCCTGATATTTCACTCTACCATTACCGTCTAAGGTAGGTCACACTCGCAAGACGCACCTTCTCGGGTAATAGTCATTGATGTGTTATGGAAATCATTCCTGCGGTCTGGAAGAGATTCTTTCTCCCCCATAGTCCAGATCAGCCATAATGTCGGGACAAGCCAGTCGAATGAACGCGTACTTTGAAGCCAAGTCATCTTATTGATACCTGTTGAGAACCGTCATAGCTACGAGCACAAAATGGGAACCGCGTATAATACATAACAAATCCTCGAAGTTGCCCAGCACACCTCTCTTTCATTCCAGACATCTCTTTTCGAGACAAAGTTTCAGCTCTGTCGCTTTCGCCGCGATCTTGCTGTTGAGCTTATTGTGTCTAAAATCGTCCATCACGGTCAACACATCGGTTTGTAAAGTCACCACAGCTTCATGCGTTAGCGTTAACCTTGCGAGGACGGCCGCGGGCACGCTTCTTAGGGGGCTCTTCGTCTGCTTCAGATTGCTCCTTGGCCGCAGGCTCGGTCTTGTCCTCTGCAGCGGATGCTTCTTCAGACTTCTCAGGCTGCGACTCTTCAGCCGCGGTGTCATCACGCTTCTGCTTGCGTCCGGGTCTGCCTCTGGGCTTAGGCTCCTTTGAAGCCTCTTTCAAGACCTCAACCTCGACATCTGACTCCGCGGCATTGTTCTTGCGTGGGCGACCGCGTCCCTTCTTGACAGGCATGGCAACAGCTTTGATGCACTTCTCGCGTCCACCCTTGGACTTCCAATAGTTCTCGACGTGCTGGCGGGCATACACCTCAACTTGCGACTCGGGTTCCCATGATCGCTCAGGGGAGCCAATCCAGCAAACGTAGAGCTGAACTGCGCCAGAAGGCTTCTGCTTGTGTTTCTCGACCCGAAGAGCGTGCCAAAGGTTCTTGTCGGCCATGGCACCCAGCCTGCCACCCTTGAGGCTGTTCCAGTACGCAAAGAGTGCTTCCTCGGCATCCTCGTGAATAGTCTGTTCAGTCTCCCACGTGGGATCGTCGTGCTTCCAGTTGATGTGCATTTGAAAGAGGGTCTTGTCGTTAGGATCGCGGCGGTGTCCCAGGATTTTGTCAAACACGAACATGCCGTTCTTTGGGTCGTCCACCTCCATGTCCTCGCCGCCCGCAGCATTCGTAGTGGAATTTTCGGTAGGCGCAGCCTCAACAGTGTCGGCGTTATCAATGGACGTTGCAACGTTGATCTCAGCATCCTCTGCTGCGGGAGAAGCCACTATAATCAATCAACCTTATCATTCCTGTCAAAAAGCATATTTAGCGTACCTTGCACTGCCTCCTTGACGGGGCTCTTTGCACGAATCTCCTCAGCCTCCACTTCGGCTTCAAACTGGTTTCCGAGCTGGATAGTGGTGTTGCCTTCGGTGCCATTGGCAGCCTCAGTCTCATGATCGGTATCCTTGTCGGCAGGTGCAGGGCTTTCCTCTCCATTCGGCTCTCTGCTGCGCTTGCGGCTCACAATGGTCTGTTCAAAGGTTGATGTAATAGTTGTGGTACCAGTACGCTGTCCAGTTATATTGTTGACCACATTGGAGAATGTCTTGCGAACGGAGGATACAACGCCAGCGCGGGGCACACTAGGTTCCGGTGTAGATCCGGAGGCTTCAGCGTCGGGAGTAGCCTCCATGGCAGTGACTGGGGCAGTGGACGAGGTCGGCTCTGAGGTCTCGTTCTCGGCGGGAGCAGCGGCAGTAACGGTATCGGCAGGTGTGCTACGGTCGGCAGTATCCACGTCGTCGGCGGTATCGCTTAAAGCCTTGCGTGGCGGAGGGCTTACAGGAAAGCGCGGAGAGGGGTGTTGCGAAGGCGGCGAACGAGATCGCGAAGCATCCGAACGGGGAGTTCCAGTGGGCGCGAGGCTCTTGATGCGCTTGTTCGGGTGCGGCGACTGTGAGCCGGAGGGTTTTCCAGGTGATGAGAGGAAGGTGTTGAATGCGCCGTTCTTCGTGGTCTGAGGTTTCTTGACAGACTGAGTGTCATTAGGCGGCGCAGGAGATTCGGCCAATCGAGCCATGATGGAAGGATTTAATCTAGACGGTATCTGGTGATGGTAGAGGCGTTTGCGCCCTCGGATGGCGTGGATCGTTGGCTTGCGCCAGTCGAACTCGTGCAATATTTATGACGATTCCTGGATTGGAAAACCAATTGATTCGCAAAAAAACTGCGCACGATGAACGGGGACGGATTGCAGACAATTGCGCGGTGTAAATAGCAGAGTGATTGACTCGGCGACGTTTTTTGAGGTGAAATGAGAAGAAGACGAGGCGTGCGGTGCTGGGCAGCTTCGGTCGCGGGAGGAGCTTTGGCCTTTGGTTTCTGCTCTGTTGAGTGCAGGTGCGGTGCGGGTGCTCTCCACTGTCGTTCCTGCTCCCATCCGGGCGGTGCTGCTGACGTAAGAGGAACAAGCTATTAAGTTTGGCGCGGAAACTACGACCGGGGACTTCAAGGAAGGTGCCTTACGCGACGCGATGAAAGTGGGGCTACAGTGGGGGCTTTGGCCGTTTGCTTCTATTGGGTACCTGTCAGTACGTGCTCACGTACTCCAGAAGAAGATTAGCGCACGTGATCTATCCACCCATCCTTCCTGTCGGGTCTAAATTCCGGGAAGGCACGCCTGGTGCGTGAAGCGAGGCATCTGGGGAAGGAAGCTGTAAGCTGTCGGATAAGATGGAAGGCAATATGGGTCATCTCGGAATAGATAGTCTTCATTTTTTTCAAGCCTCTGTGTCGCATCCTTTCGAATATGCCCATCTTCTGCGAACCCTTCCCTTTGGTGTTTCGATCCCGAAGACGTTCTGTTCCTCATGCACAGCCATCTTTCGAGGCAACAAATACGGCCTTTACGGCCGCTGGGCGAGCAGCGTCGTCCTACCGTAGCAGGCAGCATCCTCTTCGGTTTCAAGAATGATACCTTGATCTCGATCTTCTCCAACATCATGTCTGTATCCTGCTGGGTTGACTCTTCCTATCTCGGCATCAAACTGAGCTGCAGATTACCCAAAAAGCAAGGATGGCGGGGACAGTCGGTCAAGTCCACACGCTCTGCGCACCACCATCATATGAATCGCCTCGGCCAGTGATGCAGCTTCAACATTGAGGCCAGCCTCCCTATCCTCCGGCAGTGGCAAAGAGAGAAGCTCAGGCTGCCGTGATATCCTTGGGCAACGCCCGTTTTCTCCTTTCGCCGGCTTATGGCGACCGATGACAAGGGGGTAGAAGGCTCAGACCCGCCAATCTGCATTTACGTGCCATAAGCCGCATGACTGCCGCAAAATCCTCAATTCACCTGCGCGGAATTGGTTCAGTTGCCCACTGCAGAGCGGCGCAGCGGGTGACCCTTGTCGCTGGATCGTTGCAACCCTGCAGGCTACTTCGACACGCCAAATGTCATCCTTCCTGCGGCTGCCTCTTCACCATTCGGATGCGTGGTCGTCAACGGAATGGATGGGTGCAATGAGGCAGCCAGCGTGGGCTGTGTTCAATTTAAACTGATAGAAACGAACTATCTCCCTTCCCATCTCCAGGCTCTTGATACGAGATTCATGGACAATACCTGCGAGTCCAGGGTGAAACCATGGAAGCAGTAGGCGGAACCGCTGCCATCTTGCAGCTGATCGATGTGGTGCTCAAGACCACTGTCCAAGTCTATAAGATCTACCAAGATTTCAGGGATGCCAAGGACACCCACAAGCAATTAGCGAGGGAAATGAGCGACCTCGTTCGTGTCCTCCATCAGCTACTTGATGTAGTCCTCGACAGCGATCCCGACGAACCGAAATCCGGACATGCTCACGCTTTGCGGGAAATGTTAAAAGGAGAGGACAACATTGTATCGTGTTGCCAAAAAGATGTCGCCAAGATCTCCAGTCTGCTAGGAAAGGACCCCAAAATATCATGGCCAATTCGCAAAAGGAAGATCGACCAAATTCTCGCTAATATTGCATCAACTAGGGCACAAGTAGTCCTCGCGGTTCAGACGCAGTCAATGTAAGATTCCATGATGCAATACACACTGGTCGCGAATCTGACCGAATTAGGGCTATTGTGTTGGATATCCGTCGCACGCTGGATAGACACGAATCATTCATGAGACAACATGTTGAGTCTGAATCGAGTAAGGCCATTTTTGCTTGGCTGAATCCGCCCGATGTCTGGGAGAGCTTGAGAAATGCTCTCCAAAAACGACAGCCAGGTACCGGCGAATGGCTAAAGAAGACGCCCGAATTCGAGTACTGGAGAGGGAACCCGGGTAGCCTTTGGTTGTCCGGCATGCCGGGGGCCGGAAAGACCATCATGAGCTCGACCATAGTGACGTCTTTGCTTAGCGAAGCTCAAACATCTGCATCTGCTGTTGTTTACTCGTACTTCGATTTCTCAAACGAGTCGCAACAAGAAGCTCAGTCGTTTCTGCGAACATGCATCGCCCAACTCGCAGCAAAGAACCCTGCGGCTTATGAGATCCTTGTCGGCCTTCGTAATCGATGTTCGGAAGCCCAAGGTCAACAACCCGGACTTGGAGAGTTTCTCGAAGCAACAGTAGCCGCCCTGAGGTGCTTTAACCACGTGTTCATTGTAGTCGATGCGCTGGACGAATGTTCGGAACGTAGAAAGTTGCTGAACATAGTCAAAGAGCTTCAGTCCATACGCAATCTTCATCTAGTCCTCCTGAGTCGCCCAGAACGAGAGATCGAAAATGCCCTGTCATCTTCCGCGCAAGAGTTACCATTGCGGGGCTTTGAGGTCGATCAAGATATCGCAGCCTACGTCCATGAGAGAATCCATAGCTCGGGGGAAATGCGAGAATGGACGGTGGAAGACAAGGCGAAAGTTGAGGCCCAGCTAAGTGAAATGGCCGGTGGAATGTGAGTTTACCTCTGCTTACTGACTATGAAGAGCTACAACGCAGCTGACCCGAGACAATATGAAGGTTCCGCTGGGTACAATGCCAGCTGGACTCTTTGGAGAAGTGCATTGATTCCAATCAAGTTGACGAGACTCTGGCCTCTTTACCGTCTGACCTGCCGTCGACTTATGAAAGAATACTAGTCAATCTGGATATCAAGTCAGCGGTACGAGTTCGAGACGTCCTGGTAGCACTGGCCTTTGCTCGAAGACCCCTGCAGGTTGGCGAAGTTATGGATATTGTCAGCATATCCATCACCGATTACCCTCGGGCAAACAAGAGCGGGAATACGGTCTACTTGAACCAGCTGCTGTCTCTCTGCTCGAGTATGGTATCAATCTCCACTACTGGAGGTGGCGAGAAGAAGAAGCAAGAAATGCGGCTTGCGCATGCCTCGGTCAAGGATTATCTGGTCTCCGAACATTTACGCAGCGGACCAGCATCTGCATTTTACACAACCCCTGGAAAAGGACACCTTCTCATGGCCGCCAAGAGTGTTGCGTGTCTGCTGGATCAAAACGACGTCAGCCACTTTGGGCCACATACCTTAGGAGAGGTTCCGTTCCTACTCTACTCTGCTCTGAACTGGGTCCATCATGCCAGAGATGCGAGTCTGGAGCCTGATCGGGGCAGTCTTGACGACTTGATTTTTGCCTTGTTCCATCGTGATGGCGACGCTTACGTCAACTGGCACCGCGTGACAGGCCGCCATGGGCCTGCAACGCCTGTGGAGGGCTATGCGTGGGACATACACATTAGAGACGGCAGTAGGCTGATTGACGGCGGTCGACCATGCCCCAAAGAACGACTGCTAAATGGCCACTAGCTTGATCGTCCGCTTCACCATGCACTACAATGGAACTTGTGGCGCGTCGTTCAGCGTCTTCTTGATGCTGGCCATGATCCCAATGGTTACAGTAAAGGGAATCGCGCTCCACTTCACTATGGGGTACTTCAACGGGCTCTAGAGTCAATGGATCTTATCCTCAATCGGGGTGGGAATATTGACATCGGCGACTGGATTGGCGACACACCGGCCATGTTTTGCGCTTACAAGACTAAAGATCCAGTGACGATGGAGTGGTTGATGGACCGCGGCGCAAGTTTCTTCCCCGTCAGCAGAAGGTCCGGCAGTCTCTTGCAATGCGCAGCTATGGAGGGTGATCCGGAAGTGTTAGAGGTGATCTTGCGGAAGAAACCGCTCAACGTATCTCCGGACATTGGAGTTAATCACAACTATAACGAGATCGCCGACCTTGCCACTCCACTTCAATGTGCGGCGTATGCGGGTAACTTGGCATGCATCGAGCTACTGCTGAAGTATGGCGCCGAAGTCAACTTGGCTAAAGGCAAAGTTGGGACAGCTCTCCATGCTGCAGGTGCTTCAGGAAATCCGGGTGCATTTCGACTCTTGTTGGAGAGGGGCGCAAATCCAAACGTCGTCAATGGCCAATACGGGAGTGTTCTTTGGGCTGCTGCATATGGTGGCGACCGTGAATGCATTCGCATTTGTTTACAACGGGGACTGCCCATTGATGGGTTGAAAACCATCCATTTCTTTCCCGAGAAGAAATGGCAGGATCTTTCTGATGTTGAAAGAGGCAAGCTTATGTCTGAGATCATCAGAGTTGCGGGCGATCGCTATTGCCGGGACATCTTTGACGCTGCCCGTTCGGGCATGACTTCGCGTGTCAAAGCATATCTCGATGACGCCAAGGACCGCAAAGCTGAACTGGAAAAGAAGCATGAAATTCATATGCGGACGCCCCTGAGCTGGGCGGCGGCTGGGGGTCACATCGAAACGGTGAAGTACCTGGCCATGGAGGGCGCAAATCTTAACGTATGGGGAAGAGGTCTCGAGACGCCACTCGAGTTTGGCTGCCTTGCTGGTCGCTTGGATATGGTTAAGTGTTTGTTGGCTCTAGGGGCAAGAGCCGATTTTCGGCAGGCGGGCAAGTATCGAACGGCGGTTGTGTGTGCTGAGATCAGTGGCAACAAGGAATTGGTTGAATTCCTGAAGGCATTGGAGGAGGCTCGGACCGTGACGTTCGAGTTCGAGGGGCAGGCCTACGAGCATGATGGCAACAGGGGTTACAAGCGAAAGTAGTGACTACATCATGTCCATTGGAGACTCTTCCTGCCGGGGGAAGCATGCAGAGCTCTTGGAAATTGACTCCGGGGATCTGGACCCCGTATCGTGAAACCGGGCATCTCCACTTCGTCGGCCGGTCAATTGTGGACCTGACACGGAGAGGGTGGGGCCCGGCGCCGGTAGTGGGGTTTCGTGAGCAGGCGGTGGAAGGAGGGACAGCCCTCGTCTACCTTACCAGTATCAAATTCTATTCCGTACCCTTGGATGCAGTGATGTGGAGGAAATATCCTTACTTTGTACCCCGTCCAGTTCTCGCTTGTCAGTGACCCCATGTTCACCTGTGACTTGCAGGACGTTTGCTGCCATGAAGCCACGGTTTAATGGAATGGCTGGGGTAATTTCCCCGGAGCAGGTGTGCAGAAACCCATGAGTAGTCACAAGCGACAAAAGCATGTCATGAAGGATACAAGATTGGCCCTGAAAGATGGCAGGGGCAGTCGGATACTTTCAAAACAGACGAGCACATATTCTTCATCCTAGGTGATTCGTCCATTGAAGAGTGCAGCCATCTAAAAAAGGAACAGGGCAGCATCGTCCGCTCGGCGTGGCACCCCAGAAGTTGAACCCAGTCCCAGCGATTCGCGAAACTGGGAGGTGAGGATCCATCCCACTCATTCCGCCTGATTGAAGCTTCTCGAGACCCGAGTATGTATGAGTGCCGCATATATCGGTGATGTGGGCAGACGAAATTGACAATCGCGGAGGTTGGGCGACGTTTGGGCGCAGCCAGGTGAGAGTGCGAGTATCCGCAAAGTTGAAGGTTGAGTGGAACCCCCCAGCCACTGGAATTGTCGACACCCGACGGGGACTTGAAGGCGCGAGAAGATGGGCGCCGCCCCGCCGAGCTGGGCGACACCACAGCAGCGCTGCACGTAATTAAATGTGGTGCGATTTAAGTGGACGTTGGGAATTCGTTAGTGCATACGCAGTACGGAGTACTCTGTCTGGTTTCCCAGCCACTTTGAATCTTTACGAAAGTCACTGGAGTTGTCAAACCCTGAAATGTCCGAGAGCCCAAACTCTTTCTCTCGCTTGGGTACATTGTCTGTTCCTCCTTTTTTGCTTTTGAGTCCGGATAGTATCATCTTTTCCCTTCTCCCGTTAGCTTCCGCGCCTGGCGAGATCTTGCAACCGCGCTTCTTTTTCTCCCGTGTGTTGGCATCGTCTGAGTTGAGACACAGACACCAGACACAGACATACAGAGAGAGAGAGAGAGACAAGACAGCCCCTCAATCCAACGGTTCTCAACGGTTACTGCTCGCCTAGTAATTGCCTAGTTCATCTTGAATCATCTTTTCAGGATCAATCTGACTTCACGTCAAACCTGTCAAAACACTAAGAATCAAACGTCAACTCTATCCGCACCTCACCAACCTCACCACCACCAATCTCTCCAATCATTCCACCCCAACACAACCCCGCCGCCGCCGCAAGAGACGTCGACCCCGTCTCGTTTGCCATCATGGCCATGGGACTCCAACAGCAGCAACACACCCAGGGATCGCCGCCCATCCACTTCCCCGGCGACTTTGTCGAGTACGGCCAGCAGTACGACAACAACAGCGGCCACCACAGCGACCCGTCCTCTACTCAACAGCGTCAATCCCGCGGCGAGGGCGGCAGGAACGGTCGGTATCGAAGACCGCGTTCTCCTTCCCTAGACGACGATTCTCGCTTCACTACCGGGCCCAGCGGCGGTGAAGATCCGCGGGCCAGCTCAGATGCTGCGCTGCATGATGCCGTGCTCGCGCAGGCGCCCCATCAACAGGTGAGTTTACAGATGTAAAGTTCAATAGGGGAAATTTTGAGATGAGCGATCGATTGGATTGAGAGAGTAGTAGAAGAAAAAAAGCAATGGCTCGGCGAAACACGCACCAGCCACGCTCAATTTCATTACACCTCAACCACCCACCCCCCTTATCTCTCTCTCTCACCCCAGCACTCAAGAACTCACTTCACCCAACTCACCTCACCTCACTTCATCTCACTCACTCACTCACTCCCCAAACTCACAAACTCCAACTCATCTCACTAAAGGGCGGCTTTTGAGACCGCCCTCCCCCACATCCTACACCCTATACACAAAAGCACAAAACACAACGCACACGCACGCACGCACATACATACACAACTCGTATCGTCACCAAAAAAAAAACCATCTGACCGCAATGCAGCAGCGCGTAATCCCAACAAACGGCCGCAACGGAGGCCAACCTCGCGCCGCAGGCCCTCGCGCACCCCCCGCCGCCGCAAACGCCTCCCAGAACCGCCGCTCCCAGCCCCCGCCAGTCAACTCCCAGCTGCCGCCCTACATGGGCGAGAACCCCGACGAATGGAGCCCGTCCAAGGACGCCGCAGGAGCAGGCGGCTACTCCCGCCGCCGCACAGAGCGCCACGCCCGCCGGCAATCCTCCACCGGCAGCGGCGCCCCGGGTGCCCCGGACCCGCCCCAGATGAGCGGTGGCGCATCACCCCGAGGGCCGCCCGAAAGCCAGCACTCTCCAAGGGATAGACTCCCTTCTCAGCAACTACAGCAGCAGCAGCGCGAGCACATTCCCAACCCGGCAGGCGGTCTTCGCCCTCCTTCCCCGCCGGCCGTCAACGAGAGCACTCTCAGCGACATAAGCCGCGTCAACAGCCCCAGCATCTCTAAATCCGTCCTTGAGCCCCTGCAGCGCAAGATGCTCGAGTACCACCGCCTCATGGACGAAGCCCAGGGCCAGATGGCGCAGTACGACGAGGAACTCCGTCTCCTGCAGGAGCGCCGCCGTCTAGCTGAGCAGCGGTTCGTCGATGCCAAGACCAAGCATGACGAGTATGAGAGGCAGCATCTTGATGTCGAGCGGGCGCTGCGCGGTGATTATGCGCCGCCTCAGCAGGTGCAGCAACAACAGATGATGCAGCAGCAGCAGAGTCAGCAGCAAATGTATCAGAATAGTCCGCCCAGGACGGTGCCGAGACCGGCGTCGAGTATTATGAGCTATGATGACCGGCCGATGAGCGGGCACAGCTCGGGCCCAAAAAAGGGGAAGCTGAGGTTCAGTTTGTTTGGGAGGTAGATGTGTTTGCGAGGTTGGGGACCATTGATTGTGTGTTGTTTGGATGGATAGAGCGGCTTTAGAGAGGGACCCTTTGCTCGTAACTTCTTTTGTGTTAATATTCTTATGGATTCGGGGGTTTTGGGATGTGGGATGGAGGACAAAGGGGCTGTCATGTTTGGACGATGGCATTGATGTAATGACTGGAGCAACCGTACAATATGGTAGTATATCAAAGACTGGTTTCATGGCAAACGTTTCTCATTTTTCATTGTGTAGTTTTGTTTCTGGAAGCTGATGCTGTTGGCGTTGTCGTTGCATCGCTTCACTCAAAACTCGCAACCCAATTTGGCCCTTTGGTTGGTTAGTTGAAGAACAAGAACCAGAAACTTAGTCTGTTGGTTGATCGAGGTATGGTGAGTAGAGGGCTGGCTGTCTACGAGACGAACAACATGATGACCATGCAAGTCTGCTATAGGTGCGCACACTTGTTGTCAAAACATGCCAGGTTCTCAGTCATCCCAGACTCCCAACTCAAATCACCCAATGCAACTTGTTTGGGTGAGAGTATCGCAGACCTCACGGGGCATCTCGTACCTATGACAGTAGCTTGTTTTCCGTTGCCGCAAACACCTTGTTCTGCTGTGACAGTAGCTTCTGTTCTTAGACAACTCTCGTCATCAGTCTCTTGACGTGGACAGCCAAGTATTTATTGAGCCACAACATTCCCCCAACTGTTCCTAGACTCACCCTCTCATACTCTCAAGCTTCCAGGTCATAGGTCATCAAGCTTTCGGATACCCAGATAGGGGCACCTGCAACCTACCCCTGAGATCGCCTCTCATCCAAAACTGCTTATATCACCCAGAGTCCTCAATCAACACGGATAGAGACGTCCAAATAAGAAATTCTCATGCATACATCATTGGCATTTTGACTCGGACGTCACCTTCCTTAACTCCCATAGGTGGAAAGTTTCTCCGAGCCAGAGGGCATCGGATGAAGATTCAGGTCAACATGTCTGCTCCCGTACCTCCAACTCGAATATCCAATCAGATGCCCCGCTTTCCGTTTGCAAATGCTTCCTTCCTTCTCTCACTCACCGCACTCCGACACATTTTCTGACCGCTACATCCTATTTTCGCCTCCCACTTGAGTCGCGAGGGAAATATCATAAACCACGCCAATATCATAAACCACGCCGCGTTACTCTCACACTCGCTACTCAAGATCATCGCGACATGGCCTTCTTGTTACTCGATCCCATGGATCAAATGGCAGCAATCATGGATCAACCCAAAGAACCGGACAAAAATCGCATTCGTTCAGTTCTCCCGACCAAGAGGTTCCCTAATGGCCTTCTGAGACAGACTCATCGCGAGCTAGCCCGTCTGTACGAGGCCCACGGCGAGACCGTCATCACCTACTGGAAGGGGCTTGACCGAACTGGACGCGAGTTTGTGTTGAGAAACAGCTCTACGTGCCCTGTTCTCAGAACCGTCCAGTCCCTTGGCGCCGGGTTCTCCCACTTTCTCGGACCCGAATGGAATCACGAAGACATCACCAATCCAGAGAACAATGTCTTCCTCGACGTCCTCAAACACCGCGCCACGAAATCTCTCACCCACCAATTCACCATCGGCGCTAATGGCTCACAAGGCGACTGCGTCTTCACCTGCGCAAGATTCGCCGAACATCTCATTCCATGTCTGGAGCACTTCGACGGCGATGTCATGGTATTTGAGGACTGTGAAGAGTACCCTCGCACCGACGACATCGTTGCCTACTGGGAAGCCATAGCCGGCGTCAGAACAGATCGTCATCTGTGGGTACCCGGACCTGTAGGCGAGCTGATCGTAGCGAGACAGATGTTCTGGGTAGAGATTCTTCATCGCGCCCTCGTCACCATCCTCACAGCCCTGGCCACAGGTCGCAAACACCCAAAGTGCACATGCCACGAACACGACAAGGGAGAGGTGCATGGTAACGAGGTTCTTCCCAAGCTCACGCTCACCAGCGACTCCGGACTCCGGCCCTTCATCAACTTCATCAAGGCCGAGGAAGATGAGACGGTCATCTGGTCGCAAAAGCTCCTGGCAAAGCCTGATTTTCTCCTTATGGAGGCTACGAACTAGTGGCTCAGCCTCCCAGAGAAAGTCCCAGACGCCAGCGGGCGCATACTAAGCGTGGAGGAACTGGACAGGCATGTCGGGGCCTGCATCTTCGATCCCTACTACGCCGCTGAGAAGGACGCGACCACTTCTTACTACATTCGCATTCTGTTATGCGCAATCCACACGATGGAAAACTCGCGAAAGACGGCCAAACGACGCGAATTCCTGCTACAGGAGCTATCCAACGTCCTTCACCTCAAGTTTCTGAAGTCTCTGGCGTACGTCAAACGATGGATCCAGTGCGGAAAAGCAGAGAGGTACTTTAAGCGTGTCCCAAACACCTACGACCACTTGGGCAGTGAGGTTGTCGTCTTCAAGGATCGAGTCATTGACAGCAAGAATCCCAAAATATACTACGGAATGCAGCTCTGCAAGCCAGGATTGACCCACAGACATGCCAGCTTTTGGCTCTCGAAGCTGGCTCCGTATTACAAGAACAAAATCCCAGGAACCGCAACCATGGTTCCCGAGGGCGTCGAGATCTCGGAGTTCCATACAAGCATCAACCTCTCGAACCTCAATCTGCTCGTGAGCTTCATCTCCGACCTGGACAAACAGCTGTGCCTCCCGCCCGTGAGCGATACGAAAGGGCAGCTGTACATCTCACGCGTCGACCAGCTGGAAGCCGAGCTTGCCACCGTCAAGAGAAACTTGGACATCCGTAGAATCGTACCCGACATTGACCGGCTAGCGGAGCCTCTCGTCGCTTCCGCGGCGAGGGACAAGGTCGCCGATGCAATTGAGGAGAAGCTGGGCACCTGCCTTGCACAACGCTACTGGAACCTGGTGCAGAGCTGCGTCGACAACTTTCCTGATCTCGGTGATTATGAGAGCAGCAGGGTCAACTTTGACGTCTGTTTCCCCAAGTCGTCGTGTCATTGTGACTCGGACAAGTCGACTGAGCCTGCTAAGAAGAAGAAGAAGAAGCCAAAGAAGAAGAAGGCGAAGAAAGTCACAGAGCCGTCCGATGTCCTGCCGGAGCTTGAGGAGGACCATGATGCCTGGGTCAACGATTTGAATACCCCGTGGCTTTCAAAGGCTGACGGGGATTCTTCGTGGGATGAGCTTGCGACTTCCGTGACCGGATCCCTCTCCCTGAATGAGCCTGAGCTCGATCTTCCCATCAATGGTGTCCCCATCAACACTTCGCAGGACTCGGCCAACTCTGAATCTGAACTCGCTAACACCGAGCCGCAGGCTTCTGATCCCTGGGCGAACTTCCCTGAGGCCTCAGGTAGCGTTTCTGATGCTGCGACCACGCCAACCGAAGCCAGCTTCGGCGACTCTCTTGAAGAAGATGACCACGAGCATGAGGACAATGATGGAGACGATGAGCAGCGGGACGAGCACCAGGATCCCGACGAGGACGAACAGGGAATCGTGCAAGGTCCCCGCAACCAAGACGCCAGCCTCCTCGCCAAACCTGACGCCGGAGACGGACCCTCGACTCCCCCCCAAGATGTCATCTACGTCAGCGCCCGAACAGCAACCGTCATGGCAACAATGTTCGACAAGTCCCTCCACCAGGGATCCCTCACCTGGCCAGAGTTCATAGCCGCCATGGTCGAAGTAGGCTTCACCACCGACAAGAAAAAGGGCTCCGCAATTGCCTTCGTGCCCCAGCCGCGAGAAGACGGCAGCCCCAGGTGGAAGCAGTCAATTCAGTTCCACATCACCCACGGTAGCGCGTCGTCGAGGGTCGAGGGGTATCGGTCGCGCAAGATGGCTCATAGGTTGACGAAGGCTTTTGGCTGGAATGCAAAGACGTTCCAGATTGCTTGATTGCTGGATGGCACTGGCGGCTTTTGTGCCACCGGGAGTCAAATTTTGCAGTAGCTAAGATCTTTGGCTTTTGCTGTATTTGGGGACGACTTCTGAGGATTGCGAAGACGTGGCGTACGTGGGCCATAGAGATGCGGTACTTTGCTTCTGTTCTTGGATGCTGGCAGGGACACGATATTGAGACTTTGGCATCATTTGCACATGGTCCTGATTTTGTTTCTCCGGTACCCTTGGTTCGTTTGATAGTTGCTGGGCACTCATGGCCCTTGATTTGTTTTGGACTTTGTTTTGTACAGTCGCCTTCCGAACTGACACTTCTCTTCTCTTAAATAATCGTTCCCTTTTCGATTGCTTTGAACTTGTCTTTCAATATCACCTCCATTATACACACTCGAATTAAAAGTACCTCGTCCTATACTATAATGACGCGACCAGAATCTTCATAATGGTGGCGTCATCAATCCCCGAAACTGAACCACACAACTAGTAAAACGTTACCCCGGGATGGCGGTCTAAACTTCCTATTCGGCGTGTGCGAGTTGCTCAAGGGAAAGAATAAACAGTATTGAAAGAACATGGCCAGCTATCTCCAAGCCGAAGTCAGATGTGTCAAGAACTAAGTATATGAGTGTACTGGCTGTTGTTCCTAAAAACCACAATTCTTTCTTGGAAACACCTGTTATAAGTTCACTGCCCGATTGTCCTTAGTTGCGCTCAGTCCGATCACGAGGCTTTGTAGACTCGTTGCAGGGAGTACACCATGGGTCCGATTCTGCAGGACTTGTCAGCTTGCTGCAATCATACAAGTCGTATGAGGGCTTTATTGGCCAGGCATCAAAAGCAGATGAGCATCTAGACAGCGGCCTGAACGCTCCCAAGACTGAGGTCACCGCGGCCAACTCTCACGAAGCAATTGCGCAGTTGTCTGGCCTCCCCGCCGATAGTGTTCAACCCAACTAAAGAATATGAGAGAGCCACACAGTAGACTATCTTAAACCGAAACCGGCTATAGGTTTTCGCCAGGATATTTTCTGTTCCACCTGACTAACTAGAAGCCGGGCCCACGGTGATGCTCTGAAGTCGCATCAGCCCGGGCAACTTGACCCCCTACTGTTCGCTGCCTGGATACGAAACTCGACTGATGAAGGTTCTTGGGTCCTTTCAGCAAGTGAATCAGCCCACAAACTTTCGCGGCCCTGCTCCCTATTGAGCTATACTTTCCAGCTTACGATTGCATGTAAATCAATCGCCTTCTAACAACTGGAGGTTACACAACCGTTCAAATTCAATTGAGCGCTCTATTGACCCCAATATCAAGTCTTTCCTCAGAATCATTACAAGAAGCTGGCGAACTTGCCAGAAGCGACGGGCTCGCGCTGAGCAATTCGGTCAGTATGTTTGAGCCTCAATATCCGCGCCAAGGAGCGGCCGTGGAGTGGTAGAGGACTGATAAGCTTGAGGTGGACGGCAGCCTCATGGAAATGAAGACGTTTCTGTGGTTCTCTTAAAGGTGTGCTCTTCCTCCGGCTATATTTCTCGGACGCCAAAACGTTGGCCCTTTCCATGAGTATCTGCAACCATAGCTTTCGGTTTATAAAACCTAAAGAGAGAGATAGGCTATCTCCGAGGCAAAGGAAGGGGGCTCGTTGAAGCACAGGAGGAGATATGATAGATCCTTCTCGACCTGTACGGTTGACCCCAGGCCTCTCTGCTATGGACGCAAGCATCACACCCCTGGATAGGCCTCCATGGCTGTCGGGCTAAGAATGGATGGGTTAGTCATGTGTGGCTCAGACTCCACATGACAGCTTCGAAGACTAGATTGTCCAGGCTCGCCAAAGTCGGCATTTTAGCTCCGAGAGGAACTCTTGTCGTATCAGCCATAGCGTGGCTGCACACACAGAGGATAGTGCGTCTCTCTCCCGGCGAGAAGGTCTCTTTCCTCTTGGCTTGTATCATCCGAAGAGAGGGATACTTTAGAGCTGTGCTTTTCCAGTCTCGAGGACGCGTCGTACGAGGCTGCCCGCAGAAGTGTGCTCGTGGCAACACTCGCCGTAACTACACCCGCCTCCCACACTATCAGAACGGTGTCTGCGCTGAGCGCGTGTGGCAGTCCCATGGCGCCCGATGCGTCCATCCTGGACGTGGCTCGTACGATGCTGCGGACAACAACATTGGTGGTCGTGGTAGAAAAAGTTGTGCGATTGAGGGTCCAAGTGTTCGCGGATATCCTATTGTCATGGATCGAGGGGGTTTGGGGTCTTGGTTCTTGGTTTGACTCATGCGGCCACCCCTTGCAGCCCAGAGGCTCAAGCAAGAGGCGTGAAGCTGTATCGGGTCAGACATTCATCTTGCTAGTCAAGCGCACCGGGGAACATATGTAATCTTTGGAAGAGGCGGCTTTGATGAGTTTGCCATGCTGCTGTAAATTGTATCTGCCAGGCTCGTACCGCGCACTACTTTACTTACCTACCTGCTCGCTACCCGATACAAGAGACAGGATATGCAATTCCAGACTCTTTGCGAGAACACCTGTGCCGGTACACTATATTTCGAGCCGGGCCCTCCGACTACGCACAAGTGCCAAGACTTTTTGTCCCTTTCGTCAGACCATCAGTTCGGCGGCTTCGGAGTCTCACTTGGAGGAGATAATTCATGAATGACCTTACTCAATCAGTCAAAAGGAGCTCAAGGCTACGAGAAACAATCCTAGGGAAAGACATGTTCTCGTTGATCGAATTGGGCGGATGAGCGATCAACGAGGGCCACCAACGAAAATCACAAGTTGGCGATGTCAAAGGGAAAGCTTGCTAATGACGAGCTACTCATTTCAACCAAGGAAAGGCGGTTATGAAAGGAGTGTTATCATACGGGACAGCGTTTTCGGGGACATTGCTGGTCCGATGTTCAGTACCAATTTGCCGGTAAATGAACCCAATGAATTCCGGAACAGCGTCCCTACCAAAGGATTTATGATCTTTACACATAGTACCAGGCGCAAGAGTAGACTAATGTTTTCCATAGATTATGATGTACTATCAGCCCAAGCCTAATTGCAGTGGGTCGCAGCGCCAAGACTAGTAGAGAGTGACTCCATATTATAATTAAAGTAGTAGCGGCCTCGGGCGATACGGCAAGGCCGTCACGACTCTCATTGCCTTCAACTCCATGAAGTGCTGCCGCCAGGTCCATACTCAATCCCGTAATACTGGGATCTTGTCAAGAATACTTGACCAATCGGCGTATGATGAAGACTCGGACTACGCATGGTCGAATAGATGAATAGAGTTTGTGTAATATCCACGACCAAGCATCGACGGAGCTTTACTTCGACATGGCTCCGGTGTACCCAAGTGACATCAAGTCCCCATTCCATTTGGTAATTAGGGTGGTGTTGAGGCAAACAGAAGTATAAGTAAACCGCCACTCCGACTTTGACCACTGGTTGCTGTCCTTTCAACATTGAACAAATTGAACAAATTGCAGTTGTTTCAGCCACCATGATGTTTCGGAGTCACATTTTCACCGCTATAATCGCGCTTCAGTCCGCTGTCACCGGCATCCAAGCCGCCTGTACATCACAAGCGCCCGGTACAGAAGGATACAACGGCGGAAAGTGCAAGCCCGACAAGGTTCTTTGCGGCAGCGCAGGCCCTACTATTACATGTTGTGACAATACAGCCTGTTCTTGAAAGTAGGTTTATTCCTTGAGAAAAAGTCCCCAGAGCTATAATTGAAATTTCCACTGCAGTCTATCTGGGTCAGGAATGAGCACGGTTAATAGCTGTGGACGATGCCAATTCTCTTCTAATCCGTTGCATCACAAGCCTCTCATAACACCCAGGAACTTGCCTCTACTTCGGGTCCTGGGACAGAGGAGAGTATTCTGGGGTGGAATCATCTCACCGTTTAGGTGTGGAGTGTGAACTGCGAACTTTTCAATGAAAGGCAGAGAGAAGGAGTGCGGTGGTTCAACAAATCAACACAGTGTGTGATCAAGGTGCCTAAGGTGATCAAGATGAAGCTGTGTTAACCACGACATTGACATTCACCGACTCAGTGTACATAATACGTATCGGAAACCATGATGGGAAGATCCCACTTACAACGCGGTCAGCTGTCTTTGAATCGGTAGATCTGCTGCAGGTACTAGGAGAATTTCGTCACTTCGAGACCGGGCGAACCTTGATTTAAATGTATCGTGACTCATCTACTACATAACATCGGTACTATTGCCACCAGCCTTCAACCTCAATGACTGACTTGGCAATGCTAGCTCGTCCACGAAATTAGGCTGTGTGATGACATTCGCATTCCAAAAATCCCGACAACCCCTTACCTACACGTATGTTACCTTAACTTTCGGTCGGCCTAGTGATCGAGGCTTAAGATCAATGTCTGGGATACAGACTGGACTGAAAAAAGGGCAATAGACCCTTGTACCTTGCCTTCTCCATGTCGCCCACGCAGTGGCACCTGTGCGTAGTCGATGCACCGTCGAGTTGCGTATGTAAGCGGTTAACCGTATGTTAAAGAGTCCCGACGACCTCGGTAATGCCGATGTATCGCCTGTGAACAAGGACCAGAACGCCAACTCAGCGTTGGCAACCTTCAAAGAACAGAACGTACGGCGTCGCACATAAATGCTCGATCACAGTGGCGACTTCAGAATGATCTAGAGAAAACAGGTTTGCGGTAGAGCAGTGTACGCCCTGAACTGTCGATTCGGTACCGGGGGTCTAATAGATAAACTATATCCGTTTTGCGTCCGAAGGGTACGCCAACCTCAGTCTCGAGAGTTTGCGTGCGGATTGGCCTGGTGCTTGCAAATAATCACATCCACATTTACCAATATTTCTAGCCCATACCCCTAAGCCCACCCAACAGTCGTTTCCGTGTCTTGCCGTATCGTATTTGATTATGGTCGTTTCCCTCGTCCATTGATACAGAGAGGCTTTGGTGGCTTAGATCGACTGGATAACGATGCGGAAACTCTCGCC